ACCTTCAACAACCTGTTATAAAACTTTAACCCCCGGCAGACTCTTTGCCACAGAACTCTTTGGTTTCCCATGGAAAAGGATTGCATTTTTCTACGTGGTAAGATAAAAAGCATTTGCAAGTATGTGGGCACATGGAAGATGCTAGGGCTGTGCGATATGACCAAAATCTCATATTCCGATATAAGACATCTATCGTCCCGATAACGATATAAATCACAAAAATGTAACATTTTCTGTAAATTCTGTGAATCTCGGGCAGCTCGTCTTGCGGGAAGTGTTTCCAGCTGCGCGTCATGTAGCTGGAGTCGAGTGTTTTAACTGATGCATGAAGCTATACATTTTTAGACATAAGTTCTAACGGCCGCCGTTTTCTTTGTGAGTATTTATTACACGGCGTGCTGCGGGGAAAAGCCTGTTCTAACGTTTGAGTCTAAGGTTTATTTTTTAGCACCTGGCGGCTCTTTTTTTTTTAATTCTCATCCATAAATAATCTGCTCTTTCACGTGATTCAGTTTATTTTGAAAAGTCTCAACAGGATCTTGAGCTTTATTGTGAAAGGTTTATGTGGAACATAAACAAGCGGACACGCGACGCTTTTACCGTCGTTGTTGCTAACGACAACGCATAAAAACAGGCGCTTGTCCGTCCGTAGTGTGGTTATATAAAATATAAGAGAAAGAGAGAACTTTAAGAAATTAATATAGCCACTACAGCGACCATCAAAACGATGAAAAAATATTGCAGTTTATTTTGCGACATCACGAAACAAAACGATAGCGTAAAATGAAACGATAGATGTTTTTATATCGTCATCCGATATATATCGTTATATCGAACAGCCCTAGAAGATGCTGCACTTAAAATCAATAAATAAATACTCTGTGGCAATCAGTGGAGTATTGAGCTCCTAATCGTGATGACCAACTCCAACTCTACTGCTACATCTTCAAAAGGTCCAGAAGAGTGAAGAATGTTATCTTGTGTGACAGAAGTTTGTGCATCGCCACATTGTAATCAAGTAATTCTACCCTGTATATGTATACCCTATAATGCTACCCTGTGTTCTTATTGTGGTCCACAATATTTTGAATGAAACACTAATCCATCAAGTTTTTTTCCCCACTTATCTAACTCAGGGTGGTTGGGGGTCAGAACGTGTCTCTGGTATCATAGGGCGAAGGGTTGAGTACACCCTGGAATTTGGATTGTAGGAGTATCTGGAGAGAACGCGCAATCTCCACATGTAATGTACTAAAAACTGCACTACTGAGTACATTATATGCACTTTTATATAAGTAGATTTACATTACTGCAAAACTGATACACAACAGACTGTATGATTATAGATAAAACTGCTGATATATTTCCGAACGTATGCTCCCGTTTAACCTTTAATTTTTCTTTTTACCTGGATCTTTCTCAACTTCAATTGATGTCTCTTCATCACAATACACTGATGTTTTGACATAAAGTCATAGTGGGCATTTCTTTATATTCTGTTTATAGTTTCAATTAATTTTCCAAGGTTTTACAACATTTTAAGCTCACAAAAGTACAAAAAGTACCTTATTATTATTATTATTATTATTGTTATTGTTGTTGTTGTTAATAATTAATTGTATATATTCAATTATTTACTTGAATTCTAAAAATATAAGATTCATGGTTTTTAAAATGGCCATCTGCAAATTCCAGCAACGGCCTCAGTAGCAGTTCAAATGTGAGCGGTACCCAAAGCTAGAAACAATTGATTCTACGGGGGGAAAAAACCCCCCTGCTAAAACGTGAAGCAAAATGTACTTGAGTGGCCTAGAAATGCTGGAAAAAAAAAAGGCATTAAAAATAACCCACTTTTGCATAATTTGCCCATCAGATGCAGGCAGGTGGTTTTAATGTTGTGGCTTATGATTGTATTTGACTTCTATGGTGGACTTCAGTTCACATCAGAACAGCAACAGCCCCTTTTCTTTCCTCCATAAACTTGGATTTTGTATCAAAGCCTTTGTTACTGCTGGATCTGCTGAAATAAACTGGCCAAGAAGTCTTTGCTTCTTTCTTTTCAAGAAAATGACCAAGTGTAATTCTCTGTCCCACAACACCTAGCTTCTAAAAATACCACATTTAGCTTCTCGTCCCAAAACTTTAATCTCTTTGTGCCCTAGTATTTTTTCTTTGAAAAGACCAACTTAAGCTCCTTGTCCCAATATTTTGAATTCAAAAAGGCAGGGGCCGACCCTCTGATCTAAAACCACAGTCCTGTGTGGGTATTAATTCTCCAGCCGCTTGCACCTCCTGGGTAGAAAAGCACATTATTCCTTGGACAAGAATTTTTATGATCTGACTTGAGCTAAACAGCACGCCATGCAAGGCGCTGAGAGGAGAGAATAAATAGGCGAGTAGAGGCCGAGAAAAACCAAACAAGCGGCGGCTTTAAAAACCGCGGCGCACCAAGACGGATGGTCGTGTAAACACAGGCCTGATATTTTATAAAAAGCGAGAGTGTGACATCTGAATAGTTAGCGCCTGACTAGCTTATTGCTCAACGCAAACCCAGGGAATGATTAATAGGTGGGGGGTGACACTCAGAGCTGAACCCCCTTAGAGGTGCATAAATCACTCTGTGTTTTCTTTACAATGATGTGGCACTTAAGAGAGGGGAAGAAGGAGGGATGGGGAGGAAAAACCAAAAGAAAAAAAAGTGAGAACAAAGATGGGAAACGAAAAGGAAGGCGAACCAAAAGGAGGCAGACAGGAGGTACAAGGAAGGATACGTGAGGCAGACGAAGAAAATTAAGAAAAGAAAGGAGAACTAAAATGAGGAAGAAGTTTGAACATGATAAATAGTGAAGACACAAGAGAAGGAGAAACTGTCAAACAAGAAGAAAAAAGGAGACAGGAGGAAACAAAAGAGGCGAGGCTGCTGTAAAAAGGAAAAATGAAAGAGAGACGGAGAGCGAGGGGGAGGAAAAATGTCCGTCCAGTTTTCCAGCTGGTTAATGTCGGTAACAGTTATTAGTTTGTCAGATAAGGTCTGTGCGTCTGCGTGTGTTTACATTAGGCTTAGTCTGACTAAAGCCCCACTTAGTGCTGTGTGTGTGCACATAAACGTCTACCCTTGTGAGGACAAGTTTCAGTTGTAGGCCTGTGGAGTGATGACGTGCTCACTCACTTTGTGACAGACCTTCAAAGGGTTTGGTTTCAGGGTTTGGGTTGGTATTAGATTTAGGCATTTAGTAGTTATATGTGAATCAGAGTCCTCACAAAGATAGGTGGATGAGTGTGTATGGGCTGTTAAGAACTGATGGCTGTCTACTTCAACTCTGCTAAATATTTGACTCCAATGTAAAAACACACTTCGTTCTCCTCCCGTTTTCTTTCTCCTTCAGACATACAAACACACACGTGTGTCTTTCCAAACTTGTGAGGACACAAAACCAATACAAATCCACTCTTAATCCTCAAACAGCATAGATATATACACTTTGATGCTTTTTGGGCCTCTGACCACAGAGTGTATACTGTAAAAGATGCATGTAGCAACGTGAAAGTGCCTTAAATCTTTTTAATGACCAGCAGAGAGCAACTCCTCTGTTTTCAAAAAGACTGCTTTCATGCCTTATTAAATACAACGTCATGGTCATTTTTTAAGTTATGGTCCCTATTAGAGTAGAGCAGCAGCAGACGTCACTAACCAAAAGCTGAATTCCGGTTTTCTATTTCCATCTTTTGCTGTTGATGCTTTCACGCAACTTCCCACGATGCACCAAACATTACTTCTCCACTCTTTGCACACCTTCAGCTTTTGTCCAGTTTCTCTTGTAGTTTAAGTTCTGGCCTTTTTGTTTGTCATCTCTCTACGCTCCTTTATCCTCTCTTTTTACCCCCTAGCTGGTCATCGATGGTCACTCCTGCTCAATGAGACTGTTTCTAATGGAAATTTCTTCCTGGGGTTCTCCGTCTAATATCTGGGGCTTTATTTAGGGTTCTAATGTTACAATATAAAGTGCTTTGAGATTATGTTTAAGCTATAAACTTTAAACTAAAGTGAATTACTCAACTTGGCGACTAACTGCAGGGTGATGAAATCTGTCGCAGCATTTGGACTAACACAGTGAATGGCAACCAAACATTCACTCTCACATTCACACCTACAGCCAATTTAGAATCACCAGTTAGTCTAAAAAGAACATGTTTAGATTGAGGAAATAAAAAGACAACACCCAAAACGGTGACAGCCATATAAAGTCTACAGTAAGTTTTAAATTGCCTTAAAACTCAATCACACATCTACATGCTGCTGCATCCTCAGTATGATGTGACGTGTGTGGAGCTATGGTTGGTTTCCTCTGCTCACTCTATGTCTTTAAACAGAGCACTTACATGTCCTAACACTGTCAGCTCATCTCTAGCAGCAGATTTAAAAACCTGCAGCATCCCCTCACTGAAAAACTACAATTATCTGCTGTGAAATATGACAGCTGTCAAGACGGTCCGAGGTCAGCTCCTCTCACTCGCTTTGTTTTAATGGTAAAGTTTGGGTTTTGTTTTTGTCAGTTTCAGGTACTGCTGTCATCATTCTGTCCTGTTCTGTTGAGATTCTGGACTACTAGTCTTGTTTTCATCCATCTGGTTACTGATGTCATTACATACTGGAATACTCTATGAATATCAACTTGGAATGTAATTAACATTTAGCTTCAGATGTTATTGCGCTTTTCTAAAAACAAAAATAAGTAACTGTAATTTGCTGAAAAATCCTTTTTATGTTTGGTTTGTTATGAGTTTTTAAACACATTTACATACTTAACAGGGATAACCACTGGCCCATATTTTTATACTTAGACAACTAGTATGAACATACCTTTACAGCCCATACTAACATGCAAACATGCATTGTTAAGACTACCCATCCTTTAAATCTGTAACCCCGGTATAAAAGTTTAGCACTCTGCAGTAAACAGCTCCTATAAGAATCACATCCTTCTCTGGGTGAACCATACCTGTTTGAATCGAGCAAGCTCCTTTAAGGCACGCCCCCACTGCTGCTTGTAGTGTAGCTTGGATTTAGTGGCGGACTCCAGCTTCCTCTCCAGCTCCACCTGACAACGAAAAACACCTTTTGTGCTTTTTTCAATAGCATATTTATTGTGTTGCATTTTTTTTGTTTTCATTTTTAGTTTATTTCTTTCAGTATTGCTTTATTTTTACTTATTTTAGAGTTATTATTGCAAAAATGTATTAATGTTATTTAACCCTTTTAGCTTAAAAAAGTTATACAGCACTGTTTTATGTAATATTGTAGTATTACATGTTGTATAATCATTTTTATTATTTTAGACTTTTAGCAGCTTTTTTTAGCATTTTCTCTAATATTGCTTTATTTCACTAACTAACCTGTGGAGTGCAAATTGTGTAATTTTCTTTGAGTTTCATTAAATTTCATCTTGTAATATTTTTATATATTACATCTGCTCTGTCCCATCAGCTTATCGTATATCTGTGAAGAAAACCTGGAAACCTGCACAGAAAGGTGATGTACAAATAAGGTCTGTCAGTTTTTTATTTCTTTACTCTTTTGCTGTAACTTTGACTTTAATTTCATTATAATGAGTACCGTCTTTCCAGGTAGTACTATTCCTAAAGCAGCTGCTTTACCTTCTCTAGGGTGAGCAGGTTGATCTCTGACTGCAGTCTGAACTCGGGTCTGATGTTCTGTTGTTCTCTGAACAGCTGGAACTCTTTCTCCAGTTGTTTGTACCGAGACTCACCATCTGCAATCTGCACAACATGAGCACAAAGAAAAGAACAGAAAAAGTCACTTTACTTTACAATCAGAATCAGTCAAACAGATTAATCCTCAATCTCTACCTGCTGCAGTAACCGTGCTCGTTCCTCCTCCATCAATCGGACTTTTTCTCTCTCTAGCGCCACCCGGTGGTCGCACTCCTGTCGCAGTCGCCTGCTGCTCTCCTGCAGTTCCCTCTGGGTCAGCTCATGCTCGGCCCGCAGCTCCCTCTGCAGCCTCTGAGTCTGAAAACAGAGATGCACTCACTTTACTGTAGAGAAACGGTTTGGTCAGTTATAATCTTGAGTAGAGTGAATGTCACTTCCCTCTACCTTTGTATGTGTGAAATATACGTAGACTGCATGCATTTCACATTCTCAATAATCAATACATTTTAAGATATTACATTTTGCAGAGAGCTAAAATCTACAATCTACCAGTGAACACTTTGACTGCAAGAGTCAAAGGGTCTGCTTAAATGGGGTCTTTAAGAGATCTCACAAAAAAAATTATTATTATGATAATAATACTAAAAATGTTAAGAAAAAGGCTTTCACATACATTCTATGGTCAAAATAGCCCTGGGGAAGCTTTAATGAAGACTTCTGTGTAGCATTTCACCTTTAATCTACATGTTAAACATCAGCACAGCCGATGTTCTGACTAAAAGTGTTTTAAAAGAGCCAAAAATCTAAAACATACACTTGTATCTTTAGATTTATTGAAGTGTCTTTGTTATGCTTACATTTTCTATAATAACAAAACCTGCTATAAAGGGTTTGGTCAGTTATAATCTTGAGTTTGGAAATGGCCACATAATATCTAGTCTATGTTAAACAAGAACTACAAAAAGTACAGTTTTACTGATAGCTGCTTTTGAAGTGTGAGCTATTAGCATTTGGAATGAATGAAGAATTGGTTTCATATATAACGTTGTACACAAGATGGTGCTACAATGTGTGGCATAAAAGTCATAAAGCGGTTGAGGTGATGGATGATGACAGATGCTGATAAATTACTGAATAATGCAATGATCCAAACACTTCATGTGATGTCTGATGATCAATTTTCTGTCTACAGTCCTCCTTCTGTCAAGCAATTCTTAAGTGTTGACAACATACTAAAACACACATTTACAGAATTACAATTACAATAATTTGTATGAATATTATGAGCCTTTGATACTGTATGTTGTGTCATCAGCTAGCATCAGACCTCCAGCTCAGCCTCAGCCAACTGTTTCTCTCTCTTCTCCAGATCAGACAAAGTCTTCTGAAGCTGCTCCTCCAGCAGGTTATACTCCACCTCCTGCAAACACACACAGATGTGTAGAAGTGAGCAGGAGGGACCTTTCAGTAAAACTTAAGCATATATTGATATGTGAATTTGTGTAGGCGGGTGTAGACTCTCCACCTTCTTCTTGACCAGAGCTTCTCTCTCTCGGTCTCTCCTCCTCCACTCTTCTGCTAACGCCTGCATGTGGCTCAGCTCCTTCTTCCTCAGCTAAAACAAGCATATTTTATAAACGTTATATAATAGTCGACTCCTACAGGAAAAAAAATTGTTCAATTTTTGGCAAAAGTAAGAAAATATATGAGCGCTGTAAGAATCCAATAAACTGCATGGAGCTAGTGGTTACCTGATCATCAAACAGATCCTCCTGCTCCTCCTTCCACATCTCCAGCTCCAGGGCTGTGCGGTACTCCAGAGTCTCTCTGGGGACTGTAGGACCCAGTGGCGCTGTTTGGAGGCTGGAAGCTGCAGGTCTGGGCACTGCAGGGTGGAAGGATGGCTGCGAGCGAGGTGCAACTTCATTCTGTAGATATGTAGGAAAATAAACATGTCAAAAGTGATCTAGTTGAGCTAGAAACAAACAACAACATTTTACTCCAAGTAATCTGTGGTGATAGAAGACTAGAAAGACTTTTTTTTTTTTTTTATCTCTAAAATAAAACTAGCATGGACAGAAAAAGGTTGTTTTTAGAGCAGAACACATTCCCAGCTCTACAGTGTTTATATAGTTTTATTTTTGGAACATGACTCAGTTAAAAACATATTTTTCAAACCCTGGCACTCAGTTTATCCTTTGAAACAAAGGTTTACATCCTGTTTCTTTAAAAGGCACTTATTGTAGATGACGTGCTTAAAAATCCTTTAAACCTTATAAAATCAACTAAAGCTGTGACTCCACATCCAATACTTTGTGTATCATGTTGGAGAGTTATGAACTGAAAGCAGCTTTTATAGAATAGCACTCTGTACCACAGATGGTGCCGCAAGTAAAAGAAGTCAGTTTTCAGTCTGACTGATGGTGAAAAATGTTGCACGGAGGGATAGACTAAAACACACCTAGGTCATCTAAATCCACAATATTTTTGTTCTTTATCTTGTTGGAAGGAAGATGCACCATACTGGCTGTTATTTGCGCTGCTCTCTCACCTGTGATGAGTCAGACACTATGACCTCTGTGGCTTTAACCAATCCCAGGTCCTCTAGCGTTGCCATGTAGCCCAACTCTGCCACCTTCTCACTAGGCCTGAGAGACAGATAGAAATGCAGCTGTTAAACAGAGGTTAATCATCATTACGTGATCCATCAGTCAGTCTGGTTTCTACCGGTGTTTTTGGACCACAGGGATCCTGTCCAGGTGAGTCTGTCTCCAGCACTGCTCTCCAGTTGATCCCAGGAATCTGCTCTTCTCAGTGCTCAACAGCTGAGAGAGTTGGATGGAGGCTCGTCCAATCAGCTGGTCACGGCTGGTTGTATCTCTATGCCAAACCTCCACCACCAGAGGAACTCTACAACACACAGTTAAAACACATGAAATCCCCCCGCTGCTTTTTTAACACTTCTTCTGAACTAACACCAAACTAATGAACATTCCTGCATTTTTTCTTTCTTAATTTCTGCTGTGAGATTTTAGAACATTTGTTACCAACCGGTTCACTTTAAAAAGTGGAGCTCATCTCATCAAGCATAGCTGGCATTCATGTACAAAGCTGCAGGAGTATGAGCTGTAGCAGGAGAGCTCGTGCTGCTACACTGAGATCAATGAGGCGTCATAAGAGAACAAGGACAACTATCGCAGGCTGCAATTCAAAACTGTGGAGCTGAAGTCTGTTCACAACATTATTTATGAATCCAGTTTAAGTACGAGTGAGCCATCTTTCTCACAAAAACACATCCGTATACATGTTCCCCAGCCTCACTACTGCCACAAATACAATCTGATTCTATGGAAACACTGTATCAGGATAACAATGTTTCCTCAAAGAATAAGAAAGAAAGAAAAACCAGGTGACTACCAGGGGACTGCATAGTGTTTCTGTTTGCTGCTGGTGCGGGGCGATGTCATCGGTGACATCTAGAAGGTGGGACGTCAACGTGTGTGCATGTGACAGTGAGTGAGTGGTCTATGAGTGTGTGTGTGCATGGCTGAGCCCCGGACCCTGTGGGACATGGTCACCGCTCCCTGCTGGACGCTTATGCCTCTCCCTGGGATGTGGGTGCTTGTTGGTTCCGGGTTGCGTGACTGGATGCTCTGGTGTGGCCGTTGGCCCGCTCCCTTTGTGAGTCAGGGTAGCTTGATCGATCTCGTTGGTGGGGTGGGGTGGGGGGGGTTGCTGCGTGCTGGGTGACTGTGTTCTCAACTTGTAACAGGGTGGCCGGCCTCTAGCAGGTCCACTGCCTATTGCCTCTGGGAGTCTCACCCTTTGGCCATGGGCACCCCATCTGGGGCCTCCATCCTTCTCCTCCTTGGATGGATGCGCGGATGTCGCAGTGATGTGTGGCCTTGGGTCCTCAGTACTCTTCGGGGTCTTGGATGGGAGAGTTGCCCTGGTTCCATCTCCATCTGTCTGTTGCTCTTGTGGGGTTGTTACTGCAGCTTCCCACCCTCATTATCAAGTCAATTCATGACAAATACACATAAACATCTCTCAGGTGATTAGTATATTTTCTCATTTTTGTGTCCCAGGTGCTGTATGTTTGTTTTTCTTACAGGTGCAGCAGGTGTCGATACATTGTTCATTTCTATTTGTGCTCCATCCTATTATTATACCCCCCACACACACTTTTTCCCCTGCCTGTCCTACCTTACACATTGTCATACTTTGTCACATATAATGTAATAACTGAAATAACACAAAAGGAAATGAATAAATAATCAGATAAAAGATTCACATGAACACAAGGAGGCTATAAAGATTTTATATAGCTGTTTTTGGAAAAGCAAAATATGTTTTGTGGCACCACAGTGCACTCAGATCACAACTCTGATTGCAAAAGCTGCCAGACAGGACAGGATTTAAAAAGAAAAAAAAGGGCATCATGTTCATTTGCAGTGACCATTCCCTCAAAGGTGTCACAAAACATAACAGCAAAATGTTCTCTACAGCAGAACTAAGAAAAAGGAAATCACTGAAGGGTTCAATGGTTCAGGTTTTTCCTTTAATTTTTCACCCATTTATGTCATTTATACTGTCATGAAAAACAAACTTTGAAGTAAAAGGAAAAGATAATTATAGATGATAACTTAAAAGGAAACACTATTCGAGCTGTCATTATAATAGGTCTGGAGTTATTTTTCCATCAGAAGAGTTTTGTGCCTGTTGGCTGACACAGAGTCAGAGAGCTGATCCCTCAAGCAGGAGGACAAAGAGCAAACCAACGATAAACCCGACAGCTCAGCTTTGTTTAAATAATGTATGAAGGTGAGATGGTTTCTTTGCACTTATTTATGTTTTACTGTGTTATCATTAAAAATATCACCACTGGACCTTTATAACTATACAAGGTAAGTTACACTGAATATTTTTTCCTGATAATATTTACTGATACTGAATGAAAGTGAATTATTTAACTGCGATCAACATTTGATCTCCTTCCATATGTTTAAAGCATGATATTAAAAACAGGGTCCATCAGTTGCAATAATAGCTGCACTTCTTTAAATTTTGATGGAAGAATGAAGTTTTTTTCCCTACCTGCTGAAGGTTTCCTGTAGCTGCTGTGGCAGGGCAGCAAAGTCGAAGGCGCAGTAGGACTGAGGCAGAGACACCTCCGTGTTCCTCTGCAGCTCCACAGGAGGGTTAGTCATGATCGGAGCAGCACTGCCAAAGAACTGGTAGGAGTACCTGAAGTGTGACAAATATACAACCATCAATGAACAGATAAAATTAAAACCACTGCACTAAATATTTGGATGGATTCCTAAATAGAAAATTATCTCAATCAAACACCAGACAGAAGTCCATGAAATCTTACGATAATAATTTTTTTAAAGGCATGTTTGTTATAACCGATTTTTTAAAATAAACTGTTAGAAGTGATGATTGTGAGTAAAATACAGGAAAACTACTTCCTCTATGTTGAACAGTTGATAAATTAACCATCCACACTTATACAGACCTTTAAAGCACTAAAGGTAAAATCAGTACATTTATTTGTACATGTTAACAATTAAAAATCGTTACTGGCCCCATTAACCCAGTTTTCAAGATACTTAGCAGGTAGTTTACATCTTATGGTTTTTGAGAACATATAAACAGGTTTAATGGCACTGATAGCATTGCATGATTGCAAGTCGCAACTGGGCTTGTTTTTATATGGGAACGAAATCATGGCAGACAGGATTTGTAGGTTCTTAATGCAAATAATTTGTGTATTTCATTAATAACAACTTTAGGCCCAGAAATTTTAGTTATGCAGCCAGACCCTGAACCTCAACAGCTAACAAATAGATGACCACTCAGGCTACAGCCTCAGTTTCTACCTGTTAATGTTTCTAAAGTAGAATCACTGTGGCGATCGCTTTGTGCTGGTTTTCATGTTTGTTTTGTGTTGCCGGTGTTGTGCTTACATACTAAGAGAAAGATCACGTGTGTGCTCATTAGGATAGTGCATTAGGTGCCGGTATGTTGGGGTGTGGCCTATTGCCTTATATTGTAAAATGTAACTATGAGAAAATGCATTTCAGGTGACTTTACGGAGAAACAAGAAACTAATGCATCACATTGTGTAATTAATTAATTTCTCCAGTAAATACTTAAGTAACGCACTGAGGAAAAATACCTCCAACAAACCTTCGACCCACAGCATGCAATTAATTTGCAAGAATCGAATGTCTTCGATATCTTGCTTAGTGATGGTGATGACTCTCAAGGCGGAGTCAATGAGAACCCCGTGAGAATCGATAAGGATATGAATTAACAAGTAATATCAATAATGGCATCAGAATCGCTAAATTCTTATCAATTCAATTGACATAATTTATTTTTAATTGTTGTTGTAAACAAGCTGCAATTTCTAATGCTTGGCACCATGTAAATAAAACTGAATGGAAATTAAAATGCTTCCTCCTGACTCAGGCTCAATGCTGCTGAGTGTTTGACAGATATTAATGTGAACATCTAAAGTTTCCTAAAATCTCTGCACAGCACCGTATGTGGAAAAACTCATTCTGACAGCTGAGAGCAGATAAAGTGTTTCACCTGAGCGTAGCAGCAATGGGGTGGGGTAAGCTGAGGTTTCTCAGGCTGCGAAGGTCCAGAGAGAAGCAGTAGTGATGAGCGGAGGGGGGGATGGAGACTTTGGGAGCAGAAACACTGACGGATGACATTCCACCATCCGCTGCAGCCTCAGGCTGTCTGGGCAGCGATGCTGGAGCCTCGAAAACTGTAGCTGGACACCAGTGAACAAACTTCAGCTCTAAACCTTTCAAACTTCTCGTGTGAAAATGACAGCTGCTTATTTTAAGTCCTACCTGCCAATCCTGTCGGCTCTCTGCCGTGCCGGAGCTCATCCAGCAGACTCTCTGCTTCGCTCTCTGTATGAGATGAAGGAGGAGGGAGAGGAGGACCCAGAGGACCAGGATGTGGAGGAGACCCTGCAGGCTTATGGACTGGAGAAGAGCTTCGAGGTCTCTGTTCAGCAGGAGGAACAGCAGGAGACAGCGCTCCACTAGCCTTTTTATTCCCCACAGACTGCTGAAAAGACACAAGACCATGCAGCATGACATGTAGTGTGATAATCAGCCAACAACTCAGGTCTATCATAAAGCATAACAAAAACAACCAATGCATCAGGAAGTTATAAAATCACAGTGGTAAAGAAACACATGAAATCTAGTCTGAGGCTCTATGCAGAGTTCTGCTCTCCCTCCAAATTGCTGTGAGTGCAAAGATTCATCCTTCATTCATCTCATATAATTTAGAGCTGACAACATCCCAATCATAAATGTTTTAGAAATTAAACTCTGAGTACTTGTTTTCATTTACCTGCAGTGTGACCTCCTCCCTCCTCAGGGTTACAGCCACTCCCAGAGTCGGCTGCAGGTCAGTGGGCAGAGCAGGCAGCGTCTGCTTGACTCGCTTCGGAGGCTGCAAGAGAAAGGCTCCCTCTAGTGTCGCTGCTTTGTTATCCAGATCCGTGGAAATACCAGCCAGAGCTGAGAGAGAAATGTCAGTGCTGCCCAAAGAGTGATTCCCACAGCACAGGTGGATCTGAGGAAGAGAAAGGACTAAGACATACAGGTACACAGCAGGTAACTGGGAGGCAGGAGCTCCCAGTCAGGCACTCACCTGTAAACTGGGCTGCTGAGACAGGAAGGCTTTGAGGATCTGTTTGCTAGTGCGGATGCGCACAGATGCGCGCTCTGGCTCAAAGTCAGGACTCAGGAGGTTGTGGAAAGGCTCGCTGGTTATGTCATTCCCCAGTAAAGAATAGTAGAAGAAGAACTCTGAGCCCTCCGCTGACAGTTTCATGGTGCTGGGGACCAACTACAGTGAAACAAAAACATTTCTGGTTTTAAAGGATTCTCTTTTAAAGTCTACATGTACATGTGAAGATGATTTTTCAGTTTCAGTCAGCATGATGGTAAAATACGAGTGTGTGCATGTGTGTGATAATGTTATAGAGTTATATATATTTTACTATTTTATTGAAGAACTGTTTTATAACAATTTTAACTCCCACAGAAGCTGCAGATTTTCATAAAAAACATTCATTTAAAGTTAAATATGAATAAATACTTAAAGTTCACTTTTAATTAATCGATAGTTAACGCAAACATACAGTTTTTAAGAAAATGTTAGCAAAAGTCAAACGACTTTACTCGGTTGCGTGACCCTGAAGTACACCGACAGAGAAAACTGGCAGCTGCAAGTGTTAATGGTCCTTCCACATGTTCCCCTACAGAACATTTCTCAAGATTTACTTCTCCAGATATATTTCAATAGCCAGAGGCTTTCTTTCACTCATGGTAGTTCTTGCTGAACAAGTCAAGGTTGCGGAGGGCTGAAGCCTAAATTAGCTGTCATCCAGCAAGAGGCAGAATTCACCCTGGACAGTTTCAGGCTCAAAGACACACCTATGACCAATTTGGGATCACATCATGTGTTTTGACTGTGGGGGAGGAAGCCTGAGAGGCCAGAGAGAAGCCAGAGAGGTACAAAGAGAACATGCAAACTGTACACAGAAAGACAGCTGCTGGATTCGACAGCTGCTGTGATGTAGCAGTGCAAACCACTGCAACACAGTCGTCAATTCAAATTAAAAATCTGATTACATTTAGGCTATTCAACAGTGCGTTATTGTCATTCATTTATTTGTTTATAGAGAACCCCTGCTAGTACTTCTTGAATTCTGTTTTTTTATTGTTTTATCTGTTTCACTGAAGAGCACATCAGCCATCAGAGCCATGCAGCGCTTCCTTTCTTCTTTGCAGGGCTGGTCGACTAATTGGATTTCCATTTAATTACATTTTTGGCTTCTGGGGATAAAACGATTACTTTTCTGCCTTTATTTTTGCTATAAAAACGAGAGCTTTTGGTCAAAAAATCTACAGCGCATGAAATAATTGAAAATGGCTCCCATTGGTGAACCAGTAGAAGGACAATTAATGGGTGCCTGCAGGTTCCTTTGTTTTCTCTCACCCGCTCTGCTTTCGGGTTTCTGGGACGTCATTTGGTTATCAGCTTCAGCTCTCCCTCGTTTCTTTGCAGGGCTCTTATTGCCACCTGCAGACATCTTGTGGGAGAGGCTGTAGGCCAGCAGGGATTGGCTTTACATTTAAAAGCAACTGCTAATCTGGGCCCCTGACACCACAGCCATGTTTTTTCAATTCATTTATTAGTTTTAGTATGTTTAATATATGCATGACATTAATTAATAGTTATACTAAACATTCAAGATTAGAATTACTGCCACATTAAGCTATAAAATAAAAACACCCCAACTACACATTAATTAAGATTTATAACTAATGCTGCGCAGCGTGTAATGTGAAAACAATTCTAATTGTAATGGTTGGAGAAGAGATTGGTTTAATTTGGCAGTGAGATACTCAGTGTCTTTGCTCTCTTATTATGACACTCCAAAGGAGGCAGTCCCTGTAGGAGCAGTTAAGAGATGAAGCAATAATCTTTCAACAACAATAACCACCTGTGATATTCTTCATCCATATTTTAGAAGTCATTCTGAGAAAACTGCTGTGCTTTTATTTCTTTAATACTTTTCTCAGCTTCTCCCAGAGTGCCTTTAGATGACCCCAAATAGCAGGCCTGGGGATGCTGTCAGCTGGGTTTATCATCATTATCTGACACGTGGAAACAGAAACAACCCATGCAGCAGTGACAACATATGAGCGAGCCAAGAAAAAGAGTGTTTCTCCATTTTCTGTTATCAAACTTTAGTCCAGATACTGGAAATTTGTGGGTGTGACATCACTTTGGCTACATTATCTTAAGCAATAACAATTCAACATTTAGGTCTGACGTGATCAGTCAGGCATCAGGGTCAGAGTTCGGTCTTTACCTGCTCTAGTTTGGTTGCGAAGGCCACGGTGACAGAAAGGACAAACATGTCGGTGCAAAGATCTGCCGGCCCTACTTGATGGTATCCCTGGTCTGGGATCAGTATGGCCTCCAGCTTCTCTGGGAGTAGATCGGTCACCGAGGAGGAACCTACACCAGCATAGCAAGGAGATCAAAACAAGCAGTAAATAAAAGAGCAAAAACAAAAATCTTACAGGTTGCAGATGTGAAGAAACCACAAATTTTTATTTTTATTCACTGAAACCACCAATTATTCCTCTCTAATGTTTGCTGGTAGCAGAGCAACGCTTACACAAGAACCGGAGCTGAGCCTGAAGTGAGACTGTACAAAACCACAAGCAAGACATCATGGCTGCAAACCAGGAACTGTGTGAACAGAAGTTTAACTCTAAATAGAGCAATGTTCACCTCAGACACATTTTCAGATCTGAAGTGTACAAACTGAGATGTCAGAACAAGTTGTTACAGTAACTTGGCAGCAAAAAGGACTCAGAGTTAGGGCTGCAACAATAAACTAAATGCTTAGGTAAAAGCACAGCTCTTTAGCACACCCTTGTGTTAAACAATGAGCAGGCGAGCGTTTCAGTCACATTTGTTACTAAAAACAGACCTGCAACTGAACATTATTTAGGAGCAACGGATGAATAAAACGTAAGACCATGTAGCCCCCAGTTTTTCACAACAAAAACACCGATAAGACAACAACAGCAGTGATGATGACACTGTCATATACAGACACACCACCGTGACTGAGAAAGTGAGCTCAGATTGAGTGAAAGAAAACGTGTTTCTAGCATCCAAAATATCCTGGAATTACCATTAAAACCTTTCCTGGGAAAAAGCTAACGTCCTTCTTCAAACCACCTGGTCAGCAAACTCTGACATGAAGAACTTTGTAGCTGCTCCATCCACTGCCGTTTGGTTTACACAGAAGTTGTATTAAAATATGTAGATGAATGTTAACTTGGTCTGAAAGGATGTTTAAATTACACAGCTTCCTGAAGACTGACGACAGACGTCTTATTTTACGTGGCACGATGCCTGCAGCACACAGGGTGAGTCTACAGGGGGGCATTTTCAATTCCTCAGATTAATAATGAAATAATACAAAATACTGTGTTAATTAAACTGCATTCATAATTTTAAAAACTGAATAAAAAAATATTCATAAAAATAAAAGCTTTTTTTCCCAGCAAGCCAATAAAAATGTACATGGACCAATAAACTCTGAACCACTGACCTGAGGGTTGTTAGGTAGAACGCTGAATTATTATTACGTCTACATCATTAACTTGTTGTCAAAAGCACACAAACACTTGCCTCATATTAATGTCAGAAAACCTTCCAAGAAGCAAGAGTACAAATTGCTTACATATCTTATTTTATTTAGCTTTGACTGCACTTGAGAGTATTCATTTATTCAAAATATCTAATATTTATATATTTTATTTTTTTTAAATTACGTTTTAATATGGCACATAAATACAATCAAAGGATTTATTTTTTCTGACAGACGTTATATGCAGTTAAACTTTAAAGCATTACAATTTCTAAAATAGAAAACAATGAAAAGTTCATTCTGAAAGACGTGCTTTTTGTCTTTTGAATGTTTATTATTTCTTATTAATAAAACAAAAGCATTTCTTATCTGACTTCTCGATTAATCGACGGAATAATCAGTTGATTACTCGATTAGTAAAATAATCAATAGCTGCAACCATTCTCAGTAAAAATATATTTATTCATTTTCTGAATTACCTACTTGTGTATGCAATCTTGTGAAAAAGCGGCACATAGCATTTAGACTAAGTATAAACTGTGATAATCTCAATGAAAATATTATATTTGTTTTAAATGTAATGAGTAATAGAATAGTAGTTCTTCACCCTCATAAGTAAATCGTAAACAGAAACATAGACTGAGTGCTCCCTTATGATTTTTTCCCCCTGCAGTAACAGCCGAAACACAAAGCCCTTGCAGTCAGTGCACTTTAACAGGCAAATATGAACTAAGTGAACTTCAGCTCAAGGCTCAACTGTATAGACTGGGAATATTTTCCCAGAGAAATGATGAGATTAAATTTTCTGAATGTGCGACTTTATGATCTTACAAGTGCTCACTTCACAGAAAGAAAATCCCACAATCTGAGCTCCTTCTGCAGCTATGACCCTGTAATGACTAACATAACACATGACTAATGCTATGTTATGTTATGAAAGAGACAGACCATCAGATCACTGTTCTTTACAATGTCAGTAAAAGTTACACCAGATCCTCCATCAGTGCACTAATCTGTCAAAATGATGGATAAGCTCTGGAGTTGTCTGTCATTGTCAGAAAAAAAGACAAGAATTTCTAAAAATAATTTTTTTTCACATCTAGAACCCTGGAGGAGGTTAAAAGTATGCCCGGTTTAAATAGAGACGGATTTTACACATTAAAAACTCTGGATTTAGGCTCCATGTATGCTGCCAACCCACTATTCTCCCTTCTTAGATTTCAAACATGAGTCAGTGTTTTCTCTACAACTGAGCCAAGATCTGGACCTTTTTCTTCTTACTCACACTTTATATTTGAGGGTGACCAAAACCTAAACAGTAAGCAGTAACTTTATAGAAGGATGGTAAAGGAAAATAGGCAGGAATATGGCACAGCAGTGACGACTCAGCACAGAGTCCGACTGGACTTCAGAAAGAAAAATAGTTTATTAAAATGTAGACTGTTCCAGCTCATCACCATCAAACACAAGTAATACAGTTAAATAGAGAAAAGATAAAACCAAGGAAGGTGAAAACAAAAGAAAGAGAGCTGGGAGAGCTCACCTTGTCGGGGCGGGGCCTTCTTGGCTTTGAACCTATCAGGTGAAGGTTCAGAGGGCTTGTTGTCATTCTCCAACACCATGCTGAGCAGAAGGGAAGGTTTCTGTTTGGTGTACTTACTGCTGAGCAGTGGATACCAGCGTGACTCCTGATACACACAACAGATTTATCAGAACATCAGCCCTGCATATCAAATCGTCTACCAGCGCACCTCTGAACAGACAGACAGATAGAGAAGACGTTCACCTGTTTGACCTCCTGAACTGATCGAAGGTCAAGGACAATGTAGCCGACGCTTTCTTTTTTCTTGCTGACAGGGTCAACAGCAAAACACTGAAGCTTGATGGGAGTTCGCTGCAGTCTGAAGAGACAAGGCCATCAAGAGGCATTAGTGTGACTCGGCTAACATTTTCACAACCCTACTTTAGAAAGTTTTTTTTGTGGTTTGAGAGAAAATTTGTTTTCTGTAATACTTCAAAAGGTAGCTGCCTAACAAATCAAAAGTATTAGAAAGAACATCCAAACAGTCAGACAAACTGCTGTGATCGAACACCTGGGGACAAAGGGAAGGAAGAACTTCCTTTCAACAGGAAAAGACCTCCACCAGGGCCAGGCTCAGAGAGGAGTAGCTATCTATTGTAACAATTTGGGAGGTGAGGCGAAAAAAGAAACATTGGCTAATTATGTTTTGTCCTCGTTGCTCAAACGATTAAATGAGAAAATAACCAGTGAATCATGAACTAGCCAAACAGAAACCTCTTTGACTTAAGTCTTAAGAAAGTCCAAACATGTGAATTATGGAAAATTAATAACAATAATCAGCCTCTGTACAGTTGTGAAGAGGCAGAGCATTAGGTACAGGCATCAAAAACCTTTTTTGGTCCCTGGTTGGTGTTATTTTTCTTCCAAGGTTGCAGTTCCAAGTAACTCTACATGTACTTGGCTATGTCCATCTTTTATATACAGTCTATGGAGGCATGTGGTTGCAGCTCTACAGTCAATCTTTTCAGCCTACTGTAATTTAATGGAAATTGTTCTAATATTAGTATTTTGTGGTTCTTAATTAAATAATTAGATAATAATAATAATAATTAGATTTTTACAATATTACCACAACTTTAACCTCAACATAATTTTCAAAAAAAACAGTCGCGTCATCACATAGTAAATCCAGTAGAATGTGCTATGCTTCCACTGTTTACAAGCATGTAGCAAAGAAGCATCGCAGCTAAACACAGTGGGTGGAGTCAAGTTGCGTATTGACAGAACAGACAATATAAAAGATAGACATGGACAGGGCTGGAAAAATGTATCCAACGACAAAGACCTTTTGTATAAATCTATGATGAAAATAACAGCTGTATCATGAGATCAAAAATATTAAATTGCTCATAGAGCCCAGGATGTGATTAAAAAGTTTCAAAAACACATGATATCTAACCTGTGCTGGTGCAGCGTCCTGCGGTCAAGCTCCCAGGCCAGCTCGGTGCTGAACTGCGGTTGCTCTCTGTGCTCTACAGGATCCGTGGCCAGCTGCTCTCCATCAAAGCTCGCCTGAACCACCAGACTGAGCCGAGGACTCTTTGGGAAGTGACGACCTAGGGATTGACACAAAGTGTTTCCGACACACTGGTTACACAGATGCTGATCAATTCTCTACTTTGTCCCACTTTCTATTGTGTACATCAAAAGGTTTTGATGTACACAGCAGAGAAGCACTATATAAGAATCAGTCCATTTACTTTTTACCATCTATCTAAGTAGCTGTATTAAATGATCATGACGTCAGTATAAATCAATATGTGACTATGACTTATTCGTTAATTGAGCTGGCCATTAATGTCATGGTAAATTTGGCCTTTTAATTCGAAATAATTTAAAACTCTTGCATTCAATTCTTGTTTGTGAATGTCACTAAAGATGTGTGCTGTATAACTACTCCACCTTGTAAAAAGAACAGTTTAAAGAAATCATATAAAGGCCAACAAAGGCCAAACAGGTGGACAAGAGACAGAAAGCAGTGAACTCCCACATGGGGTGTTGCACCTGGCCACCCTATCTACTATGTGCTGAGTCACAAATCAGAATACTGATGCATTATCGCTGAAAGCCTAAATTCATCAAAACATCAACACAATGTGATGACTTGCAAATTCAACGATGACATAGAAAGTCATAGGTGTAAGAAGCTTTCTCAGCATAAATGACATTAACGTGGCTTCTATACTGTCCCCTGTGACAGGAATAGCTGCTTCACCAGCTTAGGGCGTGTCATTCGAACAGCAAACACTTAATGCCTCCTCAGCCTGGATTTAATTCACCGACCTGAGATCACCACCAACACTTGCAGCAGCAACAGGTTCGGCTTTTCCCCATGGGACTAACAACACCCGTTAAACGGCTGCAGTTGTGGTACCAACGAGTCAAATACGTCACGTATAAGCAAACATGGCTGGTAGCTCCAATGTAGGAGGGTTATCGGAGGATATCCAGCTCTTTAAATCGCTCACCTTCCAGAATGGACAGAACGATGAGAAGTTGGTCAGTCTTCGCAGCCATGTTGACATTTGTACAGCAGGGAAGTGAAAAAAAAAGTTTTATTCAAAATGGGAAAACTCTCCTTCCCGCCGCTGCTCAGCTGAGTTTTGACGAAGATGTCAAGGTAAAGAAACGTAGTTTACATAAAGAATAACTGTACGACCGTTACAGGCAGCAAACAGCCGCTTTGTTGTCAAGCTTTGGCGCCACCCATTTTGTTTTCAAAGAGGAAGTGATGATAAAGGCGCCCGAGTTCTTAGCACCTCATGCTGGTTGGAGGTGGAACTGCAGTAAAAGTTAACCACTACTACTATTACTACTACTACCACTAGTACTGCTACGTCTGCTATTACTACCAGAGTTATTATAGTTTTGTGTTTTCTGAGTATTTTGTAATTTAGTTTTGATTTTTTTTTTATCCTAATATAACTGATTTTCATTTAGTTTCCAGCGTGGGTTTACTTATTTAAATTTACTTCCTATAGTTTGAAAATGTTAATTTTGAAAGCATTATGTTAGCAACAGGACCCTATAAATCACTTGTACCTTACAGAGGACAGATGTTTGCCTGTCATATGCAAGGTGTTACACTTCATCACATAAAACTGTTTTTCACATAGTTATTTTTCAAACATTTAAAAAGCCAATGGTCAACATGCTGTTGAAACACAAATATCCTGAAGAAAGAAAGAAAGAAACAAAAAAAAACCTTCACTGACCAAAAATGTATATAAACATCCTTTAATCATGATTGCCAAACATATGAATTAAGGCATATACAGTATAAAAAAGCAACAGCAGGTTTCATGTTTTTGTATGTTTTCAGTGTGTGAATAACTGGATATACCAGGTGGATGAATTGAACATACCAAGCAGCCTTTTAAAGACAACACTGTGTCTCCCAAAAGTTGACAGCATCTTGTAAACAGAGTTCATAGCACTATATTCAAGTAATAGAATGATCACTGATACTATGCAGGTAAGGTGTTGTGAGTGAGGCAGAGCTACTCATAGACAAGGTAGACCACTGGGATGATGTCGTCAGTCAAGGGGCCACAAGAGGTTATTTATAATAAATACAATTATACAAAAAGGAAGCCCCCTACTGTTCAGTAGGGTTATAACCCCAGTGCACACTTTCCTGGCGAGGTTATAGTCACAATCGTTTGTTGAGTGCTCATTTGTTAAAACATGATTATTCTGTTAATTATATAGGGGGGCCATTTCATCTAATGGCTGTCACTACTTTGTGATCTCCAATTTTCTGTGATATTTGATCTATTTGATTCACCTTTCATATAAAGGCTATTGTCTAATTAATACACACAAATACACATACTGCAGCACTGTGATATTGAGCTACTCATGTCTTTAGCCTAAACCAATAGTCATTAGTCAGTGCTTCCAAATTTTTGGAGATCATACTGGTCATACTTGGAACTGTTCTGAGTCTGTAGCTGATATCGAAACCATTAACTGGCCCTCACTCTCAGCCATAATCCTCTTGACATGGTGGCTATTGATAATAGCTGACCATCCAGAGGCTTTTGGATCAGAGGGCTGGTGAAATAAGCCTTGGATTATTTGCTTTACTGACAACCTGAAACTATATTTGCGGAAACAGCCTATTAGAGGTCTACTGTTGGTCTTTTTAAGCACATATGCCAGATATAAACATTATCACTCTGACAGTAGTTCTCCAGTGAGTTTTGAACATATTTTGGATCATCTGTAAACATACATGCATCTACTGAACCTTATTTAAGCTGGCAGTGGTACAACACCAATGGTAAAGTCAGACCTTTGTGTCTATCAGGGACTCTGCTGTGAGCTAGTTAACTTGTAGAAAGCATGGGAGCAAGAGCACGAGCAGGGCGAAGGATTGTGGCACTCCACATATACAGTATGTCCCCACAGTCATCACTGACAATACAAATGTGGGCATTTCAACAAAAGGATCATTCCAGTGTGCATCCACTTTTCATTATTTGAGTGCAGATTTGATCTCATTAGATATTTCTGGCAACTTTTCTATCACTGTAAGTGTCATTGAAAATAAATATTGTAATCAAACCAACTATTTTTTTCCTAGAGCCCAAGAATCTTAAAATATTCTGTTGTATGCATCTAAAAACTGTTTAGATGGCAAAATGTTGTAATCGAAACTGAGCAGAATCTCATGCAAGTCAATGATTTAATGCACAATGTGAAAAAACAAAAGAATAACAAGAAAACAGAAGTCAACCCCAAGTTCACAGTCTGCATCTAGTCATTCCATTTGATAAACAAATCGGTGCCAGTTATTGTTTTTGGTTTTTTGCCATCAACTCACTATTTTACCTGAGTGAAAATACCATGTTTCAGACAGCCTCGAGGTTATTGTAAATAATTTCCATTAGAAAGGAAAACGTTCACTGGACTTATCCTTCACAGAGAGGTATTTTAACAACAGAATTTATAAGCCCCAGTCTGTACATCGGACTTCAAAATCACTTTGACATTAAGCCTTGAAGTTTGCTCTTTCTAAGCTGTTTAACTTGAGCTCATCAGATTAGACGTATCATGTCACATATCATATGATCTTTCACAGTAGATCAAACTATAACTGTTCTAATTTGCATTTTTTAGTCTATTTATAGACTTTTAGAGTAATCTGTATTTGACATGACTGCGAGCTCCAGAACTTCAGTTAAATGGACCCTGAGCATGCCTCAAAAAACAATTCAGCTTTTGAAAACACGATCTCTATATTACTCATAGCCGCTGCTAAACACTGTTGTTTTCGCTCGTTTTATCAGTCTGGCTTGCTCGTGCATGCAAAAACATGCATGCGATGCTGCTGTTGAATTGCAGTCTTTCTAATAGCTGCTGGAGGCTAGCTCCAAAATGAATCAATGCTCCTGCAAAAAATGTAGCTATAAAATTAGTTAATTCTGCTCTTTCATAAGAACTCTATAAGGGATGAATCAATTTTTCTGCTCAGCTTTGGATTTTGTTAAGGCTGGCAGGTGTGCCAACCCAGGTAGCTGTACCTGATCACTGTCTGCTAGCCTGCACCTCTTCTCCTAATCGGAGTCTCTAAACTGGATCTCTCAACTGTGTTTGTGCTGTTGGTGCCATTTGAAACATTTTTAACAAAACTCTATATACATTCTACATTGTATGACCTGCTGCGCAGGACATGCTCGTGCAAATAAAATTAAATTGTGCTTAAGTTATAGTTAGTAATTAGTGCTATGTAAATGTATCTTATATAGCACTAATTAGCAGATATCTGTGTCTGTGCATTGCACTGTTAGAGTCTATGGATGTAACTAGCTAGCTGATAACTTAGCACCCCACTCCCGAGGCCAAATATGAACTCCAAACAGACTAACATGGTGGGGACCAAAATGGTAAAGGTGAGGCTTCAAAAGTAAAGGAAGTCTCAGTGGCCATGTCCTTCTCTGATGTACAAAGCTCAGATGAATGTGATGTAGATTTGCAATGCGTTCAAAAGAAATCATCTGTTACTTATACTTCACTCAACAGTGGCCTAAATATAGCACACCTGAAAAACTATCTGTACGCAAATAATGAAAGTGCATCCAGTAGGTGTGAAGATATTTCACAGACGCTAACATCCCTCAGGCACACTGCCACTCATAAGAAGCACAAACTGGGGCGAACTGATTGTATTCATCACGTATGCAGTCTAACCAATGACATTACCACATGTGCTGCAGATAAACTGAAGTCAGCGAGATAAACAGTGGCTCTGTTCCTGCCGGTCGTCCCCGCTCTGCCCTCTGCTCCCATACACAGCTGATGGAGATCAACATAGTGTACGATAAAGCATGTTAGTGCTCTGCCATGAATCTGTACAGAATATATACACCACTGGGTTCCTACATGGCACTGGGCAGGTCAATGTGAAGGTTTACTCTCACATAAAGACAATACAATCAACATGGTTACGCTCAAGTTACAGGTTAGTAATACAAATGTAGCGTCAGCACTATGGAGGGAGGAGGACTTCCACTTCAATAATCATAATGAGAATAATAAGGATAATAATAGACTTTTTAGCTTCCTAATGCTGTTTTTGTCCCATTTTAAAAAAAAAACAGATCCACACTAATGTGGTAAAGTGTAAGTCATCATCAATACATTCAGTCATTTCATCATCATAATACACGACAATAACTGTGCATTTCTAAAGTTAAGTACCACAGCCCTGGTTGGGCTGAGTGCACGGCGCTCTGGGACGTTTTGTTTCGTACATGCCACCTGCTTCTGTCAAAACTCTGTAAAACCAAAAGCTCTAAAAGTCAGTGATTCTGGATTTATACAGGTAGTTCGTCCTCAAACAGGTCCTGGTCCTGCTTCCCGTCCTGCTGTCAGCTCATCAGTTCCTCTGTGATGAGTTACAAAAGTGGTTCTTCTTTTATTAGTAAGAAATGAAAGAAGTTTTTTTTTCTTGATTTTTTTTTTCTTTTTTGTTCTCTGCCTCTCAGCGAGGCGAAGCTTATTCAACACCATGGAATTGATGTCTGATAAATCTGCCATTCCTCATGTGAGACGTGGTCACATGGTCCTACTTCTTCCCTTCGCTGTCTGTGGAGACAGGAAAAAAAAAAAAGGTAAACTTTACTACACTTAGGATTTATGCTGAACAGAAGTAGAGATGCATCTGTGCTGGGTGAAAACAGTCAGGCCTCCTGTTTAGATTTGACAACACAATTTCAATTACAAACTCTGCCTATTAACTGCTATGATTGAAATTAATGCAGCATTGTTGTGCTTTCTGTCATGTTTTTCAAGAACCAGGGTGGACAACCTGCTTCTTAATGTGTAAACATACCATAAAACTGGCTACATCTACTCGTTGTTATCTCATGTTAATGATATCCCTAACATTGCATGAATAGCTGTTATAGTCCATGAAAATTCTTCCTCCTCTCAGAGGACACTGAATCGTGTAAACTATAAATAGGACAGATTATGATTGTTTCACTTTGTATTTTTATTCTTTAAAGCTAATAGAGTCACTTTACATGATTCGCGGTTCAAAAAAAATCCTAGTTTATTCAAATTTAAATTATGGTGCAGCCTCCTTAGTTCATCCTCTGTGTGACATTAAGATGTTTTAACTCCTGTTCATTGAAGGTGACTCTCCCGTTAAAGGTACTTATTGTAAATTCTTGTGCTTAACACCAACTTCAAACTTTTCAGAATTAACTAAAGCTTTGAAAAGAACATTAAGATTCAACTGCTACATCTTTATGACCCGCACACATATATGCTGAAGAGATATCAACTGAAGCTCAACTGGGGCTGTGCTCTACTTTCGTGTAGTACCAATTTGTACCACAAGATGGCACAGTGAGACAGTATAACCTTGAAGCAACACCCATT